CTTAAATTGCTAATTTCTCAATTATTGGGTGTGTATGTGTGTGTGTGCATGTAAATGAAAGATGTTTCTGCTGACTGTCTAATCAGCAATCTGCAATGAGACCCCCAAGAAACAACCTGTTCATTGCGGTTAGGGGCCACTAACCACTTACATAGTGGCCTCATCCTGTCCTGGATCTTATCTACAAACTATACTCAGAACAAATGCCTTCGTTTTCTAAAATTGACCAACCAATTTTTTTTTTTTTTTTTTGAGTTGGAGTCTCACTCAGTAGCTCAGGCTGGAGTGTAGTGGCACACTCACGGCCACCCCAGCGTTCACCTGCTGGGCTCTGGTGATCTTTCCACCTCCACCTTCCAAGTAGCCAGAACTACAGGCGCGCGCTACCTCGCCCAGCTGTTTTGATTTGTTGTAGAGATGAGGTCTCGCCAAGTTGCCCAGGCTGGTCTCGAACCCACTAGCTCAGGTGATCTATTCGCCTCGGCCTTCCAAAGTGCTGGATTACAGGCTGAGTCACCGAACTCGGCCAACCCAATTTTTAATAGCTCTCTACTCTAGTCATTACTGTGGTGGAGTGTTTTAGGGTTGAATAATACCTAGTATTATGGAGTGCTTCCCATGTGCCTGGCATTCTATAAAGGTCTTTACAGTATAAACAGTATAAATTACTCAGTCACACAAGAATTCTGTGAGGTAGAGACCATCATTCCCCCTATTTTGCAGATACAGAAGCTGAGGCACTGAGCTCAATAATTCCCATTCAGAAAGGGACAGAACTGAGATCTGCAGCTAGGTCTATTTGATTTCTATACTATGTACTGCTTTCATTTGACATAACTACCGTGTGTCATTTGGCTAGTAAGATACTCATAATATATTAATATGGGGAAAAAAGTGTAGGCAATATAGTTTTGCATAGAGAACCAAAATATACACACCCATAAAGAAGGACAAAATTATGGATGTCTCCACAAATGGGATGGATTGGATTTAGAGTCCATTATACTCAGTGATCTATGACAGAAACAGAGAACTGAAGACCACATGTTGTCACTCATAAGTGGGTTCATCACAATACTGCAAGAGAGGGATCGACAGTAGCAGGACACATAACACCACTAAGCGGGGCGGGTGGGGAGGCATGTAACATCAGTAAGGGTATCTGATCTTAAACCAGGGGAGGTGAGAACCTGTTGGAAGCCTAAACTTTACCTGCACGCAGACTACCTATGTACCTTATCCTGACTGGTACCCCACATATTTACAATAAAATTTTTAAAAGAACCAAAATAAGATATTAATTTTAAAATAATGGAACATTTATCAAACGCAGAGATTATCAACTGGTAGCAAAATCTCCTACCCCAGTGGGCATTTGGAAATGTGTGGGGTCATTTTGGTTGTTACATTGACCTGTTACATTGATAGGCTTTCAGGATGCTCCATGTCCTACTGTTCCAGACAATAAGGACTTGTCTGGTCTCAAAAGTCAGTTACTACTGAGAAACATTGATAAAATGAAATAGCCACAATTTTACATGATACTATAACATTTAGAGGTGGCAAACAAATGCCTTCGGGGAACAGTCAGGAAATGAAGTGAACGTATCCAAGTTTAAAGTGTATAAATTCAAATCTTTTTTTTTTTTTTTTTTTGTGGGAGTCTCACTCTTGTCACCCAGGCTAGAGTGCAGTGGCACACTCATGATCACTGCAGCCTTAACCGGCTGAGTTCAGGTGATCCTATCGCCTCAGCCTTCCAAGTAGCCACCATGCCAGGCTCATTTTTCTTAATTTATTGTAGAGATGAAGTCTCGCCATGTTGCCTGATCAGGCTGGTCTTGAACCCCTGTGCTCAGGTAATCCTCTCACCTAGGCCTCCCGAAGTGCTGGGATTATAGGTGTGAGCCACCACACCCGGCCAAATTCAAATCTTTAAAGCATATCTTCAAACAAAAATCTTCCAGGTACTGAATCTGGCCTGTGGATCCCCAGATTGGGACTTTTTTTTCTTTTTGAATCAGGATCTCACTCTGTGACCCAGGCTGGAGTGCAGTGGCTCCATCACCACAGCCTAGACCTCCTGGGCTCAGGTGATCCTTCCGCTTCAGCCTCCCAAGTAACTGGGAACTACAGGCATGTACCACCATGATTGGCTAATTTTTTGATTTTTTTGTAGGGACGAGATCTCTCTATGTTGCCCAGTCTGGAGGTTGGGGCTTTTTAGTGGAGGTGTCTTCTGATCAGGAAACATGCTTACAATATATAAAGCGGAAAAAAAAAAGCCACTGCTAATCTCATGTTTTTAAAAGATTGTGTGTATACCCATATTTGCACATATACACATATATTCATGAAAATGTTTGGAAAATTTGGGGGGAAGATATGGAATAAGACGTGGAGTGATTTTGTAAAATGCTTTGCTCATTCATATTTTTAATTCTGCAACTTTAAATATCTACTAGTTGTGTGATTTTTAATAAAGTAGGAGAAAGTCTTTAAAAATTAGAAGCTGTGAGTGAAGAACACAGTCCTTGCAACCTACATCCCCTTCAAGGGGAGATTACTTCTGTGGCTAAGGACAAATGAGATATTCAGTATTAGGTAATCAGTAGTGAAGTGCTAGAGCTCCTTTAAAAATGGAACACTGTTGATTTCCCAAGCACACTGCCTACCTTCTAGAATTTTCACTTCTTTTGTGATGCAATAAATTTCTCCTGGCAAAGTCCAGCCAGCAGGGGTATTGAGAACTCCACTGAGAGCTTGAGAAATCAGGATCTGTGCTGAAATTTATCTTAGGGGGACTTAATCAAAATGAGACAAGAGCCGGACATTTTAAGAATAGCGATGCTTCTTTTCCAATCAAGTCACCAAATCCTTCCAACACATTGTTTTTCCTGAAAAATCTGCATCGTGATCAGACGTTTGTGTTATCCTTCTAGCATGTCAGCTCTGCACTTTTTATTTTGTGCACATCACTTTTGACTGAGCTTCCCTTGTGGATCTTGCTGACCATTGGGCAGTATTGAATTTTCTATCCATTTGTCTACAGACTCTGGGGAGGTAGAGAAGATGATTTCCTGAAGTCCATTCCTGCCTGCTATCTGGATCTGTCCCCATATCCCCTCTCTCCTGCCTCCCTGTGGCCCCTTCTTACCAGCACCATAGTAAGCTAGTGGCAGCTCTCCTACCTGAAGCTCTGCTGCTAACAAGGTGACCTTATGGTGCTTCTTGGTGCCACAGGGGTGGGTGCTGGGACAAATGGAGAGAGGGCTCCATAACAGACAGGAAGGGGAGTTCTCCCACCTAGAACAGTTCCACTTTCCCTCCCTTGCCCGCCATCTCACATGCTGAGTCTGTACCTAATGAAGAACTCATATCTGCATTCTGAATCCACCTTTCTAAACCAAACTAAGCAGACATTTTTGGGAGTGGTAATGTTACATAGACTTTGCTCTTTTAAGGAAAGCAAAAGGTAGACAGAGGTAAAGTCCTTTGGGAGAAGTGTCTAGAATTTATCACGTGGAAAGAGAGGGGTTAAACAAGTGTAACAAATACATTGGGCATGTGTTGCTCCCAGTGTTTGACCTCCCTTCAAAGAACTGTCATTCCCAAGGACTGGCTTGCTGCTGTCGCCCTGTGAAGGATGTTGGGGAGACAGTGTTATTTTCTCTGCTGAAACTTCCATGTGACCAAGGCCCACCGCCACAGAGAGGCAGTGATGGAGAACCCGCACCCTCCCTTCCTACCATTTCCTTCTCTGTCCCCAGGTTCTTGATGCAAGTTTTGGTCCTAGGAAGCTCCAGAGTGAAACTACAATAAAAGCAAGGACACTCTTACGACTTCTCAGGATGCCTTTAGCACTTGGAAACCCTGATGGGGAAAATAAGCCTGAAGGCAGTTAAAGGCTTTTAAAGGTTTATTTGCAGTCTGCTGGCCTGGCACAGGATTGCTTGAACCCAGATGTGTTCGACACCAACCTGGGTAATGCAGTGAGACCTCTGTACAAAAAAATCAGAAAAATAGCTGGGCTTGGTGGTGTATGCCAGTAGTCCCAGCTACTCAGGAGGCTGAGGCAAAGGATCACTTGAGCCCAGGAGGTCGAGGCTGTGGTGAGCTGTGATCATACCAAAGCACTCTAGCCTGGGTGACAGAGCAAGACCCCGACTTAAAATAATAATAATAGTAGTAAATAAAGTTTGCAGACTGTGGCAGGACGGTGGGCAGGTGTATGCCTCCACCTCAGTGCTCAGGAAATACCACTTCAAAAGTTTTGAAATCATTATGACTTTGCTTATAGAAAATTCATCCACATGTTGATGGAATTCATAAACTGATTTTTAAAATACACACATCTGGGATAGTACAATAGATAGCATCCACAGCTCAGTGATGCTGTGTCGTATGAGTGTATGTTCATGTGTGTGCATGTAGTACTTGGACATCTCCAAATAATCTATACCGGTGAATTTGCTCAAGGAGGACCCCTCTGTGCTTCCAGCAGAAGGGTAAGTCTCTCCTGGAGCAGAGAAGAATGGCTGGGAGCGTAGGCTTTGGACTTAGAGCTCAAATCCAGGCCCAGTCACTTGCCCGCTGTACAATCTCCGATGTCACTCACCTCTCTGAGCTTCATGTTACCTGTTAAAAAAAGGAGGGTGCTGATAGCAGTACCCTCATAGAACTGAGTGAACTGGGTAGGACAGTGTGCGCCATGAGCTCAGCACTGTGGCTGGCACCAGACGAATGCCAACCAACTATTAGGTACTAATATTGTTACTGCGTGTTTTGCAGGTTTGAAGGTGGAGATCTTGGGAGAAGAAGGCAATAGACACTCAAGCAGCTGAATCTGCCTGAGGGAAATTTGGACACAGAAGCCAGGAGTCTGGACCAGCTACCTGCAGATCTCCCGAAGGAGCCTGCCAGTGGCACTCCTGGGAGACGAGGTGCCCAGGGTGGCTCCCCAAAGTACCTGAGACCAGCTTATGAGCAAGAAGGGCATTATGCTGACTGAGTGAGTGGGCATAAGAAGAGCCAGAGCAGGCTCTAATCAGTCTACTCGGTGTACTTGGCTTCCAAGTACCCATACTACCCTCCCTGGCTACCCCAGCCTTGTCCAGAGAGGCAAAGAGACCCTCCCCAGGACACACAGATGCGGCGGGTGGCTTCCTCTGGCCAGGGCAGGGACAGGCTTACAATTGTCTTGGCATCCCTGCAGTCCCTGACGTTGTCCCTTCTCCCTTCCTAACAGAGACATGAAGCTCTGGCATGGCTTAGTGATCGCGGTGGTGTCCCTCTGCCTGCAGGCCTGCTTCCTCACAGTCATCAGTTACCTGTTCAGCAGGCGCACAGGTAACTGGCTCAGCTGCCTCTCCCCTCCTGGGTACTCCCAGCGACCATTCCCAAGCCTGCAGCAGGATGAGACCCCTTTGAAGTTCCCAAATATAACAAAAACCTACCTGAGGACCCCATTGGCCAGATCCCTCCCATACCTGCCAGCCTGCAACCAGGAAGTCTCCACTCTGACCTTCTCCACTTCCCCTCTGATGTCACGTTTTACCCAGTCTATTTCTGGTTGGAAATGACTGCCCAAGGTTCTCCATTGCCCAGACCTTCTGCCTAGACACAGATCTGCAGTGCTTATGAGGAAGCACTAGTTTAACCTGGGTCTAACTTGCTTTCTTCAACACTGCCAAAGGACTGAACATGAAGAAACGGCCCTGAATTGCAACAGAAGGAAATGTGACTGGACTTAGAGATTAGTTTAAATTCTTGAACTGATTTACAATGGAAGGTAGAGAAACTCTGTCGTGGGAAGGCATTGCCATCAGGGGAAATAAAACGGTGCTGCTTTGGCTGTGCTAAGACAGGGGATCAGGCAGGATGATGTTTTGAAAGCTTTTCCAGTAAAGAAAGACTATCTTTCTCCATTCACTCATTCGTTCACTCATTTATCAAATATTTATTGAGCACCTAAGGCTATACAACAGAGAAAAAAACAAAAATTCCCACTCTGTAGAACTTTCATTCCATGGAACAGCAAACAAGATAAACCAGTAGAACACATGTACATTAGATTATGTTAAGTGCTAAGGAGGAAAAATGAGGCAAGGCGAGGAGATGCAGACTGGGGGTAGCCAGCACTTGAACTTGAACATGAACTTGCAGGAAGTGAGGGATGACAGCTCCTGTAAAGATTGGGAGGAGGAGCGCATTAGGTACACAGCAGCAAGAGCAAAGAGGCTGCATGGCTGGAGTAGAGGAGCAAATGGGCAGAAGCAGGAGAAAGGCGAGAAAGGGAAGAGGAATGAGTCCCTCAGAGGTCGGGACGTGACTTTTTACTCCAACCGAGGCGAGGAGCTATTGCAGGGTTTTGAGCAGAGCAGTGCTGAGGTTTTCAGGGATTCCTCTGAACGCTTCACTCTGCTGAGGGCAGTGATAGACGGCACATGACTGAAGAGAGGACTTGCCTGACCCAGGCAGTTTTCACTTTGACCTTTGCCTTCTCTCACCTAGCCCTCCAGAGTGAACAGATACTGAAGGAAACCAGGCTCCAGGCCTCTGGACCCAGCCCTGCCCACCATCACCCACCTGCTACCAAGGAGAGGAAGGAAATGCGGACAGACAGACATACCTGTGCATCTAATTCCCCTTACCGGCGTGAGTAGGGGGTCGGGGGAGAACTTGTCTTGAAGCTTATTTTGCTCTGTGTGGACACCCAGGGACCTCCTGTGGCAATCCTGTAGGCCCAAACCTCTAGCGTGAGGATTCCTCACATCCACATCAGTACAGACCTTGCCAGCCTACTTTTTTGGGGAAAGATGTCCATCCTATCATGTGGGGAAGATCCTGCTGGGTTTGTGTGGGTCCAAGTTCTCTTTTGGGTCTGGTCACGTGCAAATGGTTGTAGGGCGTTTGGGGACTGTCTCTGCTCCTCTCTTTGTAATACCATGGCATTTTCTCTTCCCCTCGCCCAGCTAATGGTGGAGCTAACATTTCAACTGGTTCTTGCCTCCAGCCATGACTGCTACTGCGTCAGTGTCCTTGGCTGGTTCCAGAAGCTGGTTCCTCCTCACTCCCCGGAGGGGCCCTTCTTCAAGATCTTAGACCTGGGTGGGTATCTGGGTGTTTGAATAAATACAAGTCTTGCTGATGGTTCAAATCTGTATTGCTTGCCCTCCTGCAAATGAACCAACAGGAAGTTCAAATCTATGTCACCCTCCTGCAAGTGACCCAATAGGTCACTATTCACACAGTGAAAATTGCAGCTTCAGCAGCAACACGATGGAGTCTTGCTCACCGAGATTGCACTTTTTCCACTAGTTTATCTCCTGATTGGTTTGAGTTTGCTTTGACCTGGTTTTATCTTTTCAGTTGAGATAAGGCCTCCATGCCTGTGGGAACCAGGGGAGCTGCTTACATGCCCTCAGTGTTTCAGCAGAATTGGAGAGGCACTGGCCTCACCCTGACACTGGCCCCAAAGTTTCACCAGAGCCTGACCAGAGTCAGAGACTGTCTGTCAGGGACCCAGAGATCATTGCTGAACCCTCTTGTTTTACATGGGACCAAAAACAGGGCACAAAAAGAGTTGATGCTGTGCATGGTGGCGTACCCCTATAAGCCCAGTGATTTGGGAGGCTGAGGTGGGAGGATTGCTTGAGCCTAGGAGTTCAAGACCAGCCTGGGCAACATAGCAAGAGCCCATCTCAACAAAAAAGTTCAAAGAATGAGTTGGGCTTGGTGGCACATGTCTTAGCTACTTGGAAGGCTGAGACAGGAGGATCCCTTAAGCCCAGCAGTTTGGGGCTGTAGTGAGCTTTCATCAGTCCTCTGCATTCCAGCCTAAGCAACAAAATGAAATCTGCCTCTAAAAGAAGATGGAAGAAAGAGATGTGATCTACCTAGAGTTAGCAACACCTTGGACTAGAACCTGTGACTTCTGAGGCCAGAGCTGTGTGCATTGGGCCACATTGTCCCAGCATGTTCCTGCTGACTTCTCTTTCTAGCAGACAGTCCTTTGCAAGCAGTCAAGTCTGAGGTATTTTTTATTAGTTTTAGATGGAGTCAAATGAAGCAGCAGTGCCTGGACTCGTGGACACGTTCCTGCCTATTCTGGAGGCTTTCTCTCCCACCACCTTCCTGTGTTCTGTTTCTCCTTCTTTCTCTTTTGGGGGCTCTGTATCTGTCTTCCTCACTCCTCTTTGCATTGCCGGCTCTGCCTCTGTCTTTACCTGATAATAAGAGAGTTCTCCCTTCCATTGTCTCTATCTTCTCTGAACACTTTCTGGTTTGCTTTGGAAGAGGAACTGTTTGTATTTCTCCCCAGATGACAGTGACATATCCTCAGATAGCTCAGACGGCTCCTGCAGCTCACCTCCTGCCCACCAGGTAATGGACTCATTCAGTGATCTCAGTCCTCCATATGCTGGGGTCCCTGCTGTGAAACCCTGAGACCTCAGGCTGACCCAGTTATAAAGGTAGAAACAAGAAAGAAGGGCTCCTTGAGTCATCCCAGCATCCTTAGCTGAGGGTGATCAGGCTCCTTCCTACTCACAACCCCTTATCAGCATGGGTAATCCAAACAAGGTGGGTCTGAGCAGACCATAAAAATCAAAATGTGGCTGGTGGCTCATACCTGTAATTTCAGCACTATGGTAGGCTGAGGTGGGAGTATTGCCTGAGCCCAGGAGTTCAATACCAACCTGGGTAACATAGCAAGACCTTGTCTCTACAAAAAAAAAAAAAAATTAGCTGGTAGTGGTGGCACACACCTACAGTTCCAGCTACTCAGGAGGCTGAGGCAAAAGGATTGCCTGAGCCCAGAAGGTCAATGCTGCAGTGAGCTGTGATCGTACCACTGCACTCCAGCCTGGGCAACAGAGTGAGAACCTGACTTTAAAAAAAAAGTGATAATAGGAAACCCCCTTCTCCCCATACCTCAGTCACTGGGCCTGGAACCTGCTCTGAGTCCTGACCTCACCTGGACTGAGTCTCTGCATCTTATCCCCTCATCATCTCGACCTGCCCATCCATAAGCCCATCCTAGGCAGACAGGTAGAACAAAGTCATGGGCAATCTTCCTCATTGCCCTAGACCTGTTCTCAGACACAGCTGCCTGGACCCAGGTCTTTCCCATCAAGCCATGGACAAGACTCTCTGAGCACGAGTTCAGTCCTGGAGTCTCACCTCCTCCACACAAGGTAGAGATCCTGACCCACATGTCTCTGCTTTTCTCCTTAGGCCACCAAGGATGTGAATTACACTCAAGTGGTCTTTTCAGCTCCTGGAGAAATAAAAGATGACTCTTCTCTGGACTATGAGAACTTAAAGGAAGCCACAGATTATGTCAATGTCAACCCAAAAAGCCACATGCTCAATGTCTGGACTTTTGTGAACCCTGCTGTCTCTGAGCCAGTGGAATACAATCAAGCGGTCATGTAAATTCTAGATTTTTTAAAGGGGTGCAGTTCTTTACGGATTCTTGCATTTAATTTGCAGGGAAATTCCTTGGTTTTGTTTTGTTTTTCATAAATAAAGCATGGGGCGGGAATAGATAGGCCTATGCCTCAGCAAGAAAGATTCAGATCAGATGTTAGGAAGAACTTCCAGGTAAAGTAGAAAACACAGAAGTATATCAGTACATAGAAAGTGAGATCTCTCCCTATGCAAAAAAAATTGTTAAGATTTTAATTAGCTGTTATAGAGTTTCGTTTGGCAATCTTATGGCTAAATGTATCTCTTTGAGTTCTTTAATTATTGGCAATAAACAACTTCCTTAAAAGTTTAAAAAAAAATTTCAACCACTAGTTCCTCTTGCCTAACCCTGCAGTTGTCTTTCTGTGTTTTGCTGAATAATCCTGCTCTGCCCTCAGAAATTTAAATAGTACATTTAAAAAGGCCACCATCAATCAACCTTTAAACTTACTGCTTCTTATAAGCAAAAGATGCCAAATAAGAATCCCCGTAAATACCGACCAGTATCACAACCTGTTATTCCAAGAAAAACCTTTCAAAACTCAATTTGATAAAATTCAATATCCGTTCCTGCATAGTTCTTAAAACTAGTCAGGAATACAAGGATGCTTTCTTTCTTTTTTTTTTTTTTTTTTTGAGTTGGAGTCTCACTCTGTCGCCCAGACTGGAGTGCAGTGGCCGCTTCCAGCCACCGCAGCCTTGACCTGCTGGGCTCCGGCGATCCTTCCACCTCAGCCTTCCAAGTAGCCGGAATTACAGGCAAGCGCTGCCACGCCCGGCTGATTTTTTGATTTATTGTAGAGATGAGGTCTCGCTGCCCAGGCGGGTCTCGAACCCGCGGGCTCAGGCAATCCACCCACCTCAGCCTCCCAAAGGCGCGGGATTACAGGCTGAGCCACCGAACCCGGCTAGGATGCTTTCTTAACTTGATTAAGAATAGCTCATATCAAGTCAGCAGATTATGTGATATTTAACTGTAAGGTCTGAGAGGCAGTTCTATTAAGTCAGAAACAAGGTAAGAATGTCTGCAAGCCTGCCATTCCCTTTACTATCTAACATTGTTCTGGAAGTTCTCATCAATGCAATAAGATAGTTAACAAAATTAAGAGTTATAGTTGTTGCAAAGGAGGATACGTTTGTCATTGTTTGCAGATACCCTAGTCCTAGAAAACTATAGGGAATTAACTTAAAATGCTTTAAAATTGATCACTTGTGGTTACTGATGATGAGAGAAATATGCAACATATTTTTTCCAAAAGCTAATTAGGATACGAAATGAAAAAAAATTTTTTTTTGCTCACATTAGCTAAAAGAATATGCCCCTCAAATTGAAACCCTAGGTATACTCCCAGTCAAATTCAAACCCCAGATCAGTGGCATTCCGGTCTTAGAGACCTGAGATCTGTTAACTGTGCCCCATCTGCTGGCCACAAATGACTCTCCCAGCCCTGGTGCCGAGAGCAGCTGGCCAGCTTTCATCTCCCAGGGTTCCTCTTCCCCAAGATGATATAAGAGAATGGTTCTTGCTTGGGTTTCTGAGGTTAGAAAATTTTGCTGGCCTGTTTGTCTCTTCATCTTTTAGCTACTATTATTGTTCCTCTCTTTAGAAAGCTTTTCTTTTTCTTTTTTTTTTATACCAGAGTTTGAACTGTAAGTTGTGTGAAAGCCAAAGGCTTTTCTTTTTCATTTTATAGTTGTGGGGTACATGTGGGGACTTGCTACACAAGTAAGTTGCATGCAGGTGAAGTTTGAACTTCTTTTTTTTTTTTGAGTTGGAGTCTCACTCCGTCACCCAGACTGGAGTGCAGTGGCCGCTCCCGGCCACCACAGCCTCGACCTGCTGGGCTCTGGCGATCCTTCCGCCTCAGCCTTCCAAGTAACTGGAACTACAGGCATGTGTTACCGTGCCCGGCTAATTTTTTTTTTTTTTTTTTTTTTAATTTATGGTAAAGATGAGGTCTCGCCAAGTTGCCCAGGCGGGTCTTGAACCTGTGGGCTCAGGCAATCCACTCACCTCGGCCTCCCAAAGTGCTGGGATTACAGGCTGAGCCACCGAGCCCAGCCAAGTTTGAACTTCTAATGGGCCCTATCTCCCCCAGTACTGGACCTGGTACACAGTGTGTTGCTGTGTGCCCCACATCCAATCCTCCCTTCCTCCCTGCCTCCCCTACCAATGTCTAGCATCTGCCATTTCCACACTTGTACTGTGACCCGTGATCAGGGCCCACTTACAAATAAGAACATGTGGTATTCAGTTGTTTCTATGATTGTTTACTTAGCATGGTCACTGGCTGCATTCACGTTGCAGCAAAGGACATGATTCTGTTCCTTTTTATGACTGTGTAATATTCCATTGTGTGTCTGCACCACGTTTTCTTTATCCAGTCCACTTCTTAGAAAGCTTTCCTTTTTTTTAAAGCCCACATTTCTTTTATTTTTATTTTTTGAGTTGGAGTTTCACTCTCACTCAGGTTGGAGTGCAGTGGCACAATCACAGCTCACAGCATCCTCCTCCTGGGCTCATGCAATCCTTCCACCTCAGCCTACCTAGTAGCTGGGACTACAGGCACACACCATTAGGCCTGGTTAATTTTTTAAAATTTTTTGCAGAGATGAGGTCTTGCTATGTTGCCCAGGCTGGTCTTGAACTTCTGGGCTCAAGTAATCCTCCCACCTTGGCCTCCCAAAGTGCTGGGATTATAGGCATGAACCACTATGCCTGGCTTCTATTTTTTAAGAAACCCACAAATGTGGGTTTATTGACACTATCAGATATAGTTATAAGAACAAAAGAGAAAGCTTTTCTTAATGGAGTACAAGAAAGTCTACTGATTAAAGAAGCTGAATAAGGACTAAATACCAATAATAAGAACACTATACTTGCATCAAGAAATGAAACTCTACTTCTTATTGATCTCTCTTTGTATTTTTTGGAGTCAGAGTCTCACTCTGTCGCCCAGGATGGAGAGCAGTGGCACACTCATAGCCACCACAGTCTCAACCTGCTGGGCTCAGGAGATCCTTCTGCCTCAGTCTCCCAAGTAGCTGGAACTACAGGTGCACACCACCACACCCAGCTAATTTTTTTATTTATTGTACAGACAAGGTCTCTCCAAGTTGCCCAGGCTCATCTCAAACCCGTGGGCTTAGGCAAGCCTCTTGCCTCCACTTCCCTAAGTGCTGGGATTACAGGCATGAGCCACCTGATCTCTTTTAAAAAGGAAAAAAGACCAAGAGTGTGCTGATGAGGTCCAGACTAGTTACAGTGCACCCAAGAAAGACTGTGCAGAGACATTGCTGAGACAGTTCCCATACCAGGAGAGGGGACTAGGGTAGCAGTGAGAGAGGGTCTGCTTTCTGCAGAATTCTAGGACAAGCCTTGGGGGCTGGGAGGAGATAGAAATAAAAAGAAGATTTGGTCCTCTGGGATTCTCAGGGTGGGGTCGAGGCATTGATGATCTAGTGGTAGGGACAGGAAAGAACTGGAGAGCATGTACAAAACAACATCTAATAAAGGGGAACTGACACAGAGCAATGAAACCAGAGCCTCCCAATGTTTAGACATTGGGGACAAAGAATGTTAGGATAGAATGAGTTTAATCAGCGAATACATCCCAGACAGAATTGATTTCTGACCTCAGTTTAGAAAGAAGAGTCAGAAATCAATTGATGGGAGAATTGTATGGAGAAATGTCTGTGACTGGGCTACCGTGGTACTCTGAAACAGTGAGTCAGTGTCAGGGAGGCCAGAGACCAGAGGCTGTAGAATGATAGACCATCTGGTTATGGTCTATAATGAATATTGCTTCAAAAGTATACCATTTTATAGCAAATATATCATCCAGGTTGGCAATAGCACCCTGATTGCTTATAAGGTCAAGAGTGTTGTTTGAGAGCAGAGTTCAGTTGAAAGTGACTTATAAAGTTGTGAGATTTGGTGGTGGAGGGGGCTCCTCAGATGCTCTGATAAGTGAAGAAGCTTTCTGGCTCACCTCCAAGGAGTGTGAGCCAGTAAGCTGATGAATGGGGCCAGCTAACAATTTGAACTAATCCTCAAAGTCATTCATTGCAAGTCAAGTTTCTAGAGATAAAGTAGCTACTAGTTTGTGATATTTCCATGAGCTTAAAGGGTCAGCTGTCTAAATCTGTACAAATAGCCATCTCTATGAGTAATTACCCTTTGAGGAGCAGAGTTTCCAGTTCAATGAAGCCACGTTCTCCCACTTTATATGACATTGGTCACCCAGAGAACAACCATGCTGCTCTACACTGGGTCCCTTCATGAGTGAGGAATGAATAGAAATCTCTCTAAAATTATATGACAATAAAATTCAGAGAAACTGATTTGCTATCGGCAACCAGGAGGTGGTTGACTAAATGTCAACAATGAACTGGAGATACAGACCACAGTAGACCACGGTCAATGTGACCTGCCTTCAATGAATTCTTATTCTAAAGAAGCAAGCACCCGAATGCCCACTGTGAGAACTTCAGCAAAATTTCATGAAAAGAATATTAGAATCAGAGAGATGTCAGCCACCCAGACCTACAAGAGTGAGGAAGTATTTTTTGCTCTTCATCAGTGGGTTTGTTTACTCTTGCAATCAGGACAAATTGCTGGGCTCAGAGGGGTGTTCAGAGGTCTCCTCGACCATTGCCTCAGCCTCTACCAGAACACAGTAAAGTGTTCTGAAACTCCAGCTGTGAGGCTTTTTGAGGTCTCACCAGCTCCCTCGAACACTGACCCATGTGTCTTACTGCCTTTTAGGCAGGAATTTTTGTATTAAGTCCCTCACCCTGCAGCAGAAACCTCTTGTTCTTTGCCCTTGCCCAATATATCCTTCGTGGGCAGAGAGAAAGAAGCATATATGCCCAGGGATCTCAGAGGAACTAGGTCAAGGGACCAAGACTGGAACTTTAGGAGAAAGTTCACTATGGCATTCAAGCTGAAAGGCTGGGTGAGTGACTTTCCTAGGCTGCTCCTTTGGGTCATTAGAGGGGAGGTGAAGTGCGTACACTGGCTCTTAGCAATGTTTGGCTGGAGAAGAGACAGGATTCTTAGGTGGGAGCTGGCTGCCTAACCCAACCCAGCCCAGCCCGGGCCAGGTTCACTTTCAGCTCCACACTGCCACCTTGTGGCTCCAAGGCAAACTCCAAGACACTCTGCTTTTCCCACTTAAGCTGGGGGCGCTGAGGTTTCAGGGAAGCCCCTACCGCCCTGCCGCCCCTCCTGTCTCCCTTCCCCCCTCCACACACACACACCTTGATTTGAGAATATCACACTTTAATTTTATCTTGCACACCCCATTATCATTGCCCCTAGGAAACTAAAGATGCACAAAAATATTAAATAGGCTTATTGGTCAATCTCAACCAAGTCTCTGGGTTGCTGACCCAGGAATGAACTGCTACAGCGTGGGTTAAATCAATAGCCCCTAGATAGATAAAAGACGTATTTGCATACAAAACAAAGACATTGTCATTGAGAAATTACTGATCTAGATCAAACAATATTTAAAAAAAAAACAACATCACTCTGAGAGATCCCCCCACAGTTGCCTAATTAACCCCTTCCTGCCTCTCCTCTGGGCCTGCTCTTCACCTCCCACTCCTACATGGGTGTCAGGAAGTGAAAGGACTGTATTTCACAGTCCACAGGATGGCATACATATTTTACACAAGTGCCAGCCCAGGGACTGCATCACTCAGTTTCTCCTGGGGCAGCTGTCAGAAACGGGATTGGCCCCAGAGAGCACAAAGCCTCCTACTTGCTTCCCACAGGGGCCCACATCCTCGAACCCTAGGCTCTTCCACTAGCCCTGATGGTCCAGGAGATCTCTATAAGGCCTGCAGAAGCTGTCCTCTATAGATCCAGACGAGGCCCCACCATTTCCTTTAGGGTTTCCTGGACCTCAGCTAGGAATGGGCTCCTGAGGTCCAAGGCCAATATCCAGTTGCTTCCCATGGGCCTCATCAAAGGACAAAACCAGCTTTCTGGAAAAGATCAGGTGTAGCCTTTCCACAGGAGGAACAGCGAGGGCCCCAAAGCGAATTCCGCTTGTGCAATGCAAAACAGAAAATACAACAGTGGTTAGAAGGAAGTTCTAGAGAAGGCAAAGTGTAGACAGGGAAGGGGCTTTAGTCAACCTTGTTCCCAGGTCTCCTCTTTACCTCTCTGAACTGTGGACCCTCCTGGGCCCAGGGCCCTGGACATCATTCACTAGGTGCACTCTGGAGCCAGGCCATCATTACCCTCCAACATCTGTTGTGTTCTGCCTATAGTCTACAGTCATAAATCCCTCCCAACAAAGCAGGCATGACTATTTCTATGTAATAAATGAGGAAAGTGCTGCTTAGAGAGATCGGACAACTTGCTTAAATTCACGCAGGCAGAAAAGGGGTAAGATCAAGACTCAGACTCGAGTCTCTGGGGCACACAGCTGGTCTCATTTTTACTTCCCAGTCATCCTGATCAACAAAGATTTGCTACTACTGGCTCTACAGTCAGGAACTGTGGTCTGAAGATGGAACGTGGGGGTGGGAGGCTTATGTGAGCTGAAGAAGGAGCAACTTCAGCAGCTCTGGTGGGCATGGGAGGCTCCGAAGCCCACTCCCCCAGGGCAGATGGATGGGGGAGAAGTGGTTGGATGTCAGGGGCTGACATGGGCGTGAACCCAGTGATGGGGAGGTTGTGGATCCTCCTGTCTGCTGAGCCTTGGTCCCAGTAGGGCCTGCGTCTAAGAACTCCCCAGTGCTTTAGCACTGAAGAGTTGGGATACTTTGGCCACTCACAATACTCAGAGAGGCTCTGTTCTTTTAAGGAAGCCTAAGGAGCCATCTTAGAGGTGAGCGTCCTCTCAAAGAGGCCCAGTATATCTGAAAAGCCACAGTCATGCCTCAAAGCTTCTAGGAGTCAGAAGTAGAGACCTGTTTCCTAGAGCTTCCCTGGGGTGTCCTTCATGAGATTAGTGATACCTTATATTAGTGTAGAGGTCATGGGTTTATAAACCACTTTTATATCCACAGACCTAAATAATTTGGCCCTCAGAACCAAGGTATCAAGGATTGGTCAATATTTTACTGATGTTGGTCATTGGTGGTGGTGGGACCAGAACCTAGCTCTCCTGACTTTTTGGCTGATGCTGTTTCCACCAGCAAGGCTATCTCTTAGACCCAGAATTGAGGTAGGGAAGCTACCTCCTGGAGAGTATGAGAAGGAGCAGGGCAAAGCTCCGGATTCTACCTTGGTCTGCAGTCTCTTCTGGCCTTAGAGAATAGTTCTGAGTATCACAGAACCGAGGACAGAAGTAGACAGTATGGCCATGGTAGGACCCACAGTCATCTGAATCGAGTCAAAGGGTATAAATGTCATCATTATAAAAATCCAACAATGCTTCTACAGTCGGTTAATTAGAACACTTTTTGTGTTTCTCTACTGTAACACCATTTCCAGTTTTGCAAAGTCACAGAGGGTTAGAGCCGGGAAAGACTTTAGAGATCATCATATGTATTCTACAGGTAAGGGGACTGAGGCTTGGAGAGGGGTGGCGACTTGCCCAAGGCTATACAGATATCTGAGGCAGAGCTGAAAGCCAAATCCTGGGCTCCTGACTTGACCACAGCATTCATGCGATTCATAGCAGAAGCTCTGAAGAAACTCCAGGGTGTCCCGAGCCATGATCATGTCACTTTCTCAAAGGATGTCTCCTCTGTGCAGCCCTGGAGGAAGCAGCAGTCTGGATCCCTCGGAGGCAGGAGGGCAACCAGCCCCTGTGGCCTCTGAGGCATATTCTTTCTCTTAATCTTATTATGACCATTTTGTCTCCTCCTTCCCTCTTTCCTCCTGCCCTCACCCCCAGTTGGGTCATACTACTGAGGAGAGAGACACTCTCCCCATCATCCACTCAGTCTTGGGGGAGGTCGGGGAGGGGTAGAGGAATTAGCATTTGCAGATTTTCTACTCCGTACCCCATGCTGTGCTAAGTCCTGCACCTTCATTAGACCATATCCCTTTAGTAGACAGATGAGCACAGCAGGGGAAGCCCCACATACCCATTCACTTTTCTTCACTAAACATTCTTTCTCTCCAAAAAGTAAAAAATCCAGGATCTATATAGGGCCTTCCTTATAGCTTATCATTTCTCCCCTCTCCTGAATGGGCTGAGATGTACTAGTCAAGTAAGAATTGGGATAGGTAGCCATGACACGAAACCAGACTCTGAGTTCCTACCACTTGCAGACATCCAGACAGTGCCATCCTAGACCTGCCCAGATCTGGGGCACCACATCACCACTTGGATATGCTCGTGGACACCCTGTGAATATGGTGGGACCACGGAGGCAGGCAGCTTGATTCTCTCTGATTCCAGTGTCTGAGATCAGGAGATCATGAAGCAGCTGTCACACTAGGGGCAGCTGTGACACCAAGGTAGGGGTGACCATTCTGGCTTCTTCACCCAGCCTTGGACTGGGCGCCTCTGTCTTCAACCCTGACTCTGCTGTTACGTCCAGTGCCTGAGGTCGGCAGAGACCTAGCACTGGTCCTGGGGGCAGTGCCAGACCCCAGGGAGTCTTCCCTAAAAGATGCTGGTTTCAGTGGTGGCTTCCCCATCCACCTGCTCCGAACCCCTTGGTGATTCTTCAGGCCCAGGCCTCCCGCTGAGGCTGAGGCTGAGGCTGAGGGTGAGGGTAGCCGGGCAGCTGGAGCGGGTCAGCAGAGTGGTGGTGCGTCGACTCGAGAGGCTACAATCAGAGAGCTGCCGGCGCATCCGGGGCTCAGGACTCCCGCAGCAGGCAAGATGGCGCAGGGGGCGTGGCAACAGGTGGCTATTGAAGCCCATGTAGATCCAGGGGTTGCAGCAGCTGCTGAGGTTTCCCAGAAGCATGGAGATGGTGAAAGCCACATTGGTGGAATCTGCCAAGAGAGAAGCAAGAGGAGCTTTAGAACGATTGCTCGAAGGGACCTGGGAGAGAGTCTAGGCCCCACTGTACAGATGAGGAAACTGAGTTCCAGAGCAGAGAAGGCATACACGTGGTGCCCTATGATTAGAGAGGAATACAGAGGGGACTTGCATCTTTGATTCGCAACTCCACAGTCTTACCTCACTTATTTTTTTGTTTTGTAAACTACAGGGTGGAGTAGGAGATGAGGTTTACTTCAAGTTGAATTGAAAAGGAGGAATGTTGTTAGGGATAGGATGGGCCCAAATAGAAGAAACTGCCTTTATTCCCAAACCTTGACCCTGAATCCCCTAATGCCTGGACAGTGCTGGTCCGCGGACTGTTAGAAACCGGGCCACACAGCAGAAAGTGAGCAGAGGGCAAGCAGAGCTCAGCTTGCTGTCAGATCAGCAGCGGCACTAGATTCTCATAGGAACCCAGATCCTTTGTGAACTGTGCATGTGAGGGATATTGGTTGCATACTCCTTGTAAGAATCTAATGCCTAGTGATTTCCCTCCTCCCCACCCCCCCCATGGAAAAATTGCCTTCCATGAAATTGGTCCTCGATGCCAAAAAGGTTGTGGCTTGCTGCCCTAATGGATGTGGGCCTAGCATGAGACGACCTCTATAAAATACACAGGGAAAATAATCAAGTGTAGAGCCATGCCACCCCCATCCCCACTCATGCCATAGCTCATGGGTTCACATTGCCTTCTGGATCTGCCCTCCTCTAGCTCTTGGGCACAGGCTCACTCACTCTACATTCAGTTCTTGAGGGTATGGGCACTGATTCCACTGGGCCTTGTGCTTGGGACCTGTTGGGACAGTCGATGGAGCCTGACTGTCCTGCAGGCACCTATGCCATCATCACCACCTGCAGCAGAGGGGCACTTCTAGGTACCAGGCATCCAGACCAGTACTTGTTCTGTGTTCTGAGATTGTGCCCAAGGAGTGAACTTTTCTGCAGGGAAAAACTAATTTCTCTCTTCAACAGTCAACTTATGAGGAAGCCAAGAATGATAAGATTCCTTCCAGACACAATACCCTTTCTAAAAAGTAAATGAAACTCCTCATGCCAACCGGAAAGCTTGTAGGGATGGGCCCACCCTCCCGGTAGATCCACCACGATTACAGCTGTGGCATTGGTGATGAACTGAGTCCCTTGCTCTTCAGCAGAGACTGTAGAATCATTGAAAACAACATCAGAGCTGGAAGGAACCATAGGGGTAAACTTTCCCATTTTTATAGCACAGTTAGTAAGAATTGCCACTGGAACCTAGGTCTTCCGGCTCTAAGGCAGGGATCCTAATCCAGAAGCTTCAACCTACACACTTGAAGGCAAAGCTCAGTGCCTACTCTGAAAAGCCCTGGGAAAGCTTCAGATATGCCGGTTCTTTGTACACATGTCCCATGAATGTGCTGGTGGGTGTGGCCATTCATAGCCCAAAAGAGGGAAGACACAGGGTGAGAACATTTGAGAGAAGGCACAAGTCATAGGGATGAGAAGCTGAAGGCATCTGGGACTGGATGGACAAGTCTAGGGCACAGAAGTGGGAGGAAGCAACTGTAAGAGAAGGTGGGACCAGCCTCAACAACAAACTCAGCCTCCTTCAGTTTTGCCTGGGTTCTGGCCTGCTCCCTAGTTAACGTAGAAGTCCGAGTTGCCAGGGACTCGAGCAGTTGCTTTGGCTGAGGAGATGGTATTCATTTCTGCTTGCTCCATTGATGTACATTTAATGTCCAGATGAAGCCAGGGACAAAGGAGTTCTACAAGTTTCTTCGCTTAGGAAGTCTCTGTTTTGTTTGGCCCATATGAGCAAGGCCCAGTGCTGGGGCTGGAGATGTGCCACAGAGGAAGTCCCAAAGTCAGCAGAGGCTCTGCTTTCCAGCCCTTGAGAGTAGATCCACCACACCCAGGACAGGCAGCCGCCACTGCATCCTGTCAAAAATTCCACTGACAGGGGCAGAGACAGGGAGATAGGCAGGTTCCAACCAAAACCTCAGGACCAGGGAGCCAGGAGGCCAGCGTGCCACAGAGGGAAGCTGGTGCCTTGGAAAGTAGGTTTAAATCTTGGCCCAAAAGCCTTTTGCTTTTTCTGAGAGAGAACAGTGTCCATAGACAACATGCTGTGCCTATACTCCCTGCTCAGGGAGACCCCTGGTACATGGGGACTCTCTCTACACAGGTGAGGGCTAAGGGGTTGTCCAGATGGATATCAAAAGGCTGGTTAAGAAGGGAGGCAATGGGGTCATGATCATTTGTTAGAATTTTTGCACTCCTTTTCCATGTTTGTATTACATTCATGAACAGCCTTGCCTCCATTTCATCTCTTCAGAAAACTAAAGCATTAGACTTGAGAGTGTCCTGACATAAACAAAATGAGATTAGAAACAACGATACAAGAGAAGGGGACAACTACCTAAAGGCTGGTAGGAACTGACAGCCTGAGTCTGCTGGTTGGTGAACTCTTTGGAAGCACCCAGAAGAAATTATGCACAAAGCCTTTTAGGGCAGTTGCTTGCTATACCCAATATACATCCTGAGCTGTGCACACTATGAGATGCACGGCAGGGCACAGTCACCCTCTTCACAGCCACCCAGACAGGTTGGCACACACTTGCCCTTGTGCCCTACCCCTGCTTAGGGAAGCAGGAACAGATGTCTTTGAACACCCCACTCTAACACGTAGGCTGCCCAGACACAGCCAAAACCAGCTCACCTCCGGAAGGCTGGGTTATCAGGCACTGTCTAAAGCTCAGGAGGCCACTGTCCACAAAAAATGACGAGAGCAAGGCCTCCCAGGTCCTGGTGGGACACAGTTCTCTTGGAGGCTTCTGTTTTGTTTTCCATGTAGGGGAAAGGCCTCGCTCCTTTTAGGGTTATGAGTGGGGTAGAGGAAAAACAAGGAGAATGAGGACCTGGGTTCTACTCTTCACTTTGTCACACCCTAGCTGTGTGGCCTGGGCCAAGTCTTGGCTCCCTTCTGAGACATTGTTTCCTCATTATCAAAAGTAAGGAATTGCACTTGAAATTTCAGTGTTGTCATGTACTAACCCTAATTTGGAAGTGGCTGTTGAGAAGGAATTCAAAGTCATATCCAGGTGCAGGAAGGAAGAGTGCCATACTGGATTGGACCATTCAAAGTTCCTTTCAACTCTATCATTCTATGATTCCTTTCAACTCTATCATTCTATGATTCTAAAGCCCATCTATGGCTAGGAGAAGTGACTCACGCCTGTAATCCCAACCCTTTGGGAGGCCAAGGCAGGAAGGTCCCTTGAGCCCAGAAGTTTGAGAACAGCCTAGGCAACACAGTGAGACCTCGACTCTATTAAAAAAAAAAAAAAAGTTACTAAAAAAAAAATTAGCTGGATGTGGTGGTGTGCTCCCTTAGTCCCAGCTACTCAGGAGGCTGAGGCAGAAGGGTTGCTTGAGCCCAAGAGTTCCAGGCTGCAGTGAGCCACGGGTGTGCCACTGCCCTCCAGCCTGAGTGATAGAGTGAGACCCCAACTCAAAAAAAAAAAAAGCCCAACAAACTGGTAGTTAGTTGATCAAATCTGCCAATGGTCATATTTCATTAGTGCCACATAGTATTTTAAGATTGTTAAATTAGTTGCTAAAATTTAACAACGGGGGAAATTTCACATAAATCATCCTCAGATGGCATGGGGAAGGTGGATGGGAGTTGTGGCTGTCCCCTTTCTCACATGGAACAGGCACCGTCTTTCTTAACTGCCTCTCTCATCTGCCACCCTCCTGCCCTGGGAGGCATTGTAGTCCTGCACTAACCCTGCTGTCCCCCTTTCCTGCTCTTTCCTACCTCGCCACCCCGACAGACCCCACACTCGCCTTCGTCAGGGGCGTTCTCGTCCCACACAGACCACATCTGGACGCTGAAGAAGGGTGCCCAGCAAGCAATGTAGGCCAGCACAATGACGAAGGTCATCTTCACGGTTCGGATCTTGGCCCTTGAGATGGTACTGATGCTGCTGACCCGCGATGGCAGCCCCCGAGTGGCTGCAGCTGGGGCAGAAGGTGACAGCTTGTCCCAAGTCCTCCAGGCCCCTCCTTCCACCCGCCAGGCCTGTGTCTTGCCTTTTAGGTTTTTACAGATCTCGTGGCAGATGAGGCTGTAGCAGGCCGTGAGCATGGCCACGGGCAGGACGAAGATGGCCAGGGTGGTCCAAGTGAGGTAGGCCCGGGGCCCCCAGGGGAAGCGGAAGTCCGCCCAGCAGTCCAGCACCCCGGAGCCCTGGATCACCTCCCGCAGAGAAAAAATGAAGACTTGAGGGAGGCTGAGGACGGCAGCCAGCAGCCAGGGGCCAGCGATGAGTGGGTAGGTGAACTGGCTGGGCTGCTGGAGGCTGCGCAGGGGGTGGCAGACAGCCAGGTAGCGGTCCAGCGTCATGGCCAGCAGCATGTAGGTGGAGGCGAACATGCTGAGCGCCTGCAGGTACTTGACAGCCCGGCAGAGGAGGTCGGTGCCCTGGAATCGGTAGGTAATGTCCCACAGCAGCTGGGGCAGCACCTGGAAGAGCGCCACGGCCAGGTCGGTCAGGGCCAGGTGCAGCACAAACAGGTGCATGCGGGAGCGCTTGCGGCCCCGCTGGCCCAGAGTCAGGAGCACAGCCAGGTTGCCCCCGGTGGCCAGCAACAGGACGGCAGCCAGGACTGCGATCTCCACCTGGGCCAACTCCTCATCCCGGCCCAGCCAGGGTGTTGTGGCATTGAGGGCCCACAGGGTGGCCCTGGGGGTGGGGCTGGCGGCCCAGGGAGGTCCAGACTCCATGGGTGAGGTTTGCCGGGAGGGAAGGAGAGGAGGGAGAAGAATGAATGGGGGCTGTGGGTGCAGCGGGGGGAGGGGGGAGGGAGGCTGATGGAGAGGATGAAGTGGCAAGGGAAAGGCTTGAGGTGGAGAGAAAGAAGCGTGAGACTGACGGGGGGAAGGGAAAATCGGTGGGAAGAGTTCAGAGAACAGGGACAGAGAGGAGGAGGAGGAGGAGATAAGTGAAAATGCGGCTGAGGTCGCTGACCCCAGTGCGGGGAGAGGACCCAGAAGAAGGCGAAGGAGGGCTCAGGCAGACTTAGGGTCAGGAGGGAAAGAACAGAGAGACTTCTGGAAGAGACCTCTGGAAGGGAAAGAAGGCTGGGGCAGCTGCCGCCACTCCCGAGTCCGCACCAGATTCGCCTTCTCCAGACTTTTCGGGAAGCGGAGGGGCCGCCTGCCTGGAGGCGCGGTG